GCCCGGCAGTGTGGCGAGGCGGGCGGGCAGCGCTCCGCTCCCGGTGCCGCTGCCGATCCCGCTGCCGCCGCCGCCATGCCGCCGCCCGGCCCCCGCCGCCTCTCCCTCCTCCTCCTCTCCTTCTTCCTCCCCGCGCTGCTGCTCCGCCGGGCGCTGGCCGCCGCAGGTAAGGGGGGCACAAGTTTGGGGGGCTCTGAGGTGGGCAGCATCCCCCCAGAAAAGTTCGCCGCGGTTGAGGTGCCCGGCCTTGGGACGCCGAGTTGGTGTTTTTATTTCTTTTTTCTTTAATATAAAGGTGGAGGGGTTGGCGAGGGGGGAGCCGGGCGCCCTCGGCGCCGTTGCGGGGGGATGCTCCCGGGGAGGATGATGCTCCGGTCCGGGGGGATGATGTTCTGGGTGGGTGCGGGCTGGCAGCGCTCCCCGCTCCGCGGGGGATGCTCCGCGGGGATAGGGGCTGGCAGCGCTCCCCGCGCCGATGCTCCGCGGGGATACGGGCTGGCAGCGCTCCCTGCTCCGGGGGGGATGCTCCGGGGGATGCGAGCTGCCAGCGCCGCTCCCTGCCCGCATCGCCGTGCCGCTTCCTTATATTTCTCTCTCTCCCTCTCTCTCTATATATATATTTATTTTTCTTGGCAAAAGCAAAACAAACCCAGCCCTGTTTGTAGTAGCGCCGGCTGTGATTCCCCGGTAGGTAAAATAAGTAACTATCCAGCCTGGATTTTTTAATATTTTTTTAAATCGGTTATTAAAGCTGCATTTTTATAAGCTGAGCGATTGATGGCCGGGCAGCCGAGTGGTCTTTTCCTATGGCTGTTCAAAGTTTCCTGTGCGCAGCCCAATCTTGTGATTGAGATGCACTTAAATCCAGCCCTTCCGTTAGCAATCCCTGCCGCGGACGAGAAACAGAGGCACGTCTCTCCTGCTGCCCTCTCTCGTTAGGACTCCTGTGATCAAACTCAGCCTTTCCTCCGTGTATTCTCCCCCCACACGCACTCCACAACTCCTGGACATCCTCGGCACTTCGTCCTTTGTCATCCTCCGGCGGTGGCAGAGCACAGCCGCCCGCGTTTGTTCTCCGCCTGTAAAAAGATGTGCTCGAGTGTAGAGCTCAGAAGGGCAGCCCTGTAAAGTTGGATTTTTTTTGGAGGCTGGCAGAGACCGTAGCCGTGTTGGGCAAGGTCGTTATCCCGGCGGGAATTCGGGATCTGTCGCTCCCCGCAGCTCCCGGCGAGGGTTTGAGGACGCGTCGCGAAGCACAGATCGCTCTTGTTAAGGAGTTGAAAGCGTCTCCTGACGAGCTGATTTTCTAGGAAAATGAACCAAGCCTTCTTTTCTGAAGCGTAATTAAGGTGACGAGGAATTTTAGGGAGGGAGCCTGATTAGATTAATATTTTTTCCGCCCCCGCCACACAAAGATCCAGTGTATTTCGGCAAATGGGGAACAGGAATGGCACTATTGACTTATCCAGGGGCCTGGACCTTGCTGCAGCAGCGTCCTCCAGGCAGAAGGAACTCTCCCTCGGTGGGAAGGGAGAGGTTTGAGAGCTTGCAACTGGTGTGCTCCTGCTTGGCTGGCAGCGGTGCCCTGGGGATGGGCAGCGAGGGGCTCAGAGGCTCTGCACAGCACCGGGGGTTTGGGAAGGCTGGATCAGCCAGGCTGGATTAGCCAGGCTGGATTAGCCGAAGAGAAAAAGGTTAGGGTTTAGCCAAGCTTTCCTGCACGCTCAGGGGAGTTGGGGATATCACCGTGTTCGAGCCTGGCTCTGTCCTCTTGTTTTTGTGTGCGCCAAGTTCATGCAGGGGTTGAAATAAAACTGGGCAGGAGGAAGGGAGGGAGGGAATGAAGAAGGAAAAAAACAAGTTAAACCTGACCCACCTGGCTCAGTTTGAGTCTGGGGAGCTCTCTCAAGGCACTGTGCTGCTAATCTGGCATATGTACGTGTGTGTATAATAAAGTTTTTAGCTGGAGAGCTATAATTAGTGTTTCTCCAGGAGAGCTGTGTAGTGGTGGCATGTGATGGTGCAGAGGAGGGAGCTGAGATAGGTGCTCAGCCCGGGTGATCATCCATTCCCTTCCCCATCCTTGCCTGGTTTTTAGGGAGAGGCAGAATTGTTTTCACCCAGAACTGTTTTCACCCAGAAAACAATTTTCTCTTTCAATAACAAAGAAGGCACATGTTGTTTGTGCCGGGTTTTGCAGAATGGGGGTAGAAGTGTGGTTTTGGATGGGGGTTTGAAACCCAGAAAGCATCTGGTCCACTCATCCATCCCCAGGAGCACTGCTGGGGGAAGCCAGCTCCCAGCGTGTCCCTGAGCCTGGGGCTTTACCTGCCAGCCTGCTCTCCAGGCTTCACCCTGCTCCTCTGGCTAGGAAAACAATTTGGGGTGAGGATTTGGAGCTTGCTGGAGGGTCTTTCCCTGCGGGGCTGCACAGAGGCTGTAGGAGGGCGGCTGAAATCCAGAGGGTGACTCTGGAAGCGGGGACTCGGCTGACAAAGGTGTTTTTGGACAGCTGTCATCCTGCTGAAGGAGCATCCTTCCATCCTTCTGCCCTGCCAGCAGCAGGAAAACACCCAGGGACAGGGGCTGGAGGGGGGACAGCAGCACTGCTGTCCCCAAGCAGCATGAGGACACGGGTGGCAGGAGGCTGCCTGCCTGCTGCCAGCGTGAGCAGATGGCTGGGGAAGAAATGCTCCAGGACCTGTTGCCTATCAAATCCTGCCCTTTGGAAGTGGAGGCTTGAGGACAGGGGTGTGGGGAAGGATCTGCTCAGGGTTTTTTTTATCTTCTTCACCTGCTTTGTTGTGGAGCCCTCTCTCTCTCCCTCAGAAGCTGGTGCTCTCTGTGGTAGCAGCAGAGGGAAATACTGAAACAACAACAAAAAAAGGAGAGAAATGGAAAAAAGGCTACTTTAGAGCAGGCAGAATCACTTGGAAATTGTAGTTGTGGGGGGCAGGGAGGAAATCCAGCTTGCATTTACTCTGCTTAGAAAGCAAAAGCTGACCCTGTAAGGAGCTTGGAGGGTTCAGCTGTGTCCTTCATCTCTGTAGGGTCCCCTGGGTCCCTGGGGTGCTGTAGATGCTGGTTCCCTTTCCATCCCTGTCCTAGTCCAACAGGAATTATATACATAAACATATGTAAAAACCAGATCTGTATTTTGGGTCACTTAAGAGAGCCAAGATGCTGCAGGGAGCTCTGTTTCCCTTCCATTTGCAGCAGTGGCATCCCCATGGCTTTCTCCCTCCCATTGGGATAATCCTGGCAGCCCTGTGGGGTTTTGGTAGAGTCCTGAGCTGGGCTTTGCTGGGCAAAGCCAGGCTGCCAGGCCAGTGCCAGGCCAGGAATGCTGTGAGGTGAGGACAGAGGGGGCTGTGCGGAGTCTGAGGAGTTCATTACAGCAGATGTTGGTGCCATAAAGCCACAGGTTCCTGCTGTTTCGTACTCATTTATATCTGCCTGGCTTTAGCGATGCTAATGTGAGTGAAAACATTTCCTGGGGGGAGATATATCATCAGCCCATTCCCTCTGCCCCCTTCCTGCCATCCCACCCATGGGAAGAGGGGATTAACAGGGGTGCAAGGGATGCCTGAGCCGCTCAGTGGCTGCCATCAGCTCCTCTGTGGCAGTTGGAGGCCCACTGGCTCCAATTTTGGTTTTCCATAGTCTGCAAAGCTGTAATTTGCTGTAATCAGTTGTATTGTGCAAGCCACCCCTGCCTGTGAGTCAGAGCACGGTGGCACCGAGCTGACACAGCCCTGGCCCTTGGGATGCTGGGCTCTGTGCAGGGCATCTGGGTCTGCTGACAACAGAGTCTTATCCCTCCTGGAACTGGTCGGGACCAGGTGGAATTGGGTCCTGGTCCAGTGCAAGGTGTCCCTGCCTGTGGCAGTGGGGCTGGAATGAGATGAACTTTAAGGTCCCTCCATGCCAAACCAGTCTGTGACTCCCTTCTGCTCACCTTGGGCTGAGGGAGCCTGGGTGATCCTGCCCTGGCTCTGCCAGAGCTCAGGACCTTAAGGAAAATGTTGTGTGCTCTGTGTCTCCAAAAAGCAGAGAGCCTTTGTGGTGAGCCAGCAGCTTCCGACTGATGTCTCCCCTCACATTAGGCTGGAACAAATCCTGTGTGACCTGCAGTGGGGCTGAGAATTCACCTTGGGCTGAGGGAGCATGCGTGATCCTTCCCTGGCTCTGCCAGAGCTCAGGACCTTAAGGAAATGTTGTGTGAGCTGTTTCTCCAAAAGGCAGAGCCTTTGTGGTGAGCCAGCAGCTTCTGAGTGATGTCTCCTCTCATGTTAGGCTGGAGCAAATCCTGGGTGACCTGCAGTGGGGCTGAGGGGAGCCTGGGTGATCCTTCCCTGGCTCTGCTGGAGTTCGGGACCTTAAGGAAATGTTGTACGAGCTGTTTCTCCAAAAAGCAGAACCTTTGTGGTGAACCAGAATCAGTGAACCAGCAGCTTCCAAGTGATGTCTCCCCTCACATTAGGCCGGAGCAAATCCTGTGTGACCTGCAGTGGGGCTGAGAATTCACCTTGGGCTGAGGGGAGCCTGGTGATCCTGCCCTGACTCTGCCAGAGCTCAGAACCTTAAGGAAATATTGTGTGTGCTGTGTCTCCAAAAAGCAGAGCCTTTGTGGTGAGCAGCAGCTTCTGAGTGATGTCTGCCCTCATGTTAGGCCGGAGCAAATCCTATGTGACCTGCAGTGGGGCTGCACTAGGGCTGGGAATTGAGCAGCTCTGGCTTGGTAGAGTCAGAGAAAGCCCAGAGAAAAGCCTGGAAAGCTGCTCTGATGTCTGGTTTCACACCCACCCTCCCTCCCTGGACTCCGTCGGTGGCAGCCTGGAGGCCCCTGGCTGGCTGCTGCACCTCCCGAACACTCCATGAATCCTCCCTCTCTTCCCTGCAGCCCTGCCTGCCTGCCGCTGGCATTTTTACCCTCAGTAAAAATCTCACTTCTGGAGTGTGGGCTCGCTGTGCTCTCCTGGGCTCCCTGCACGGAGGGCGATGCTGTTCCTCAGGGTGCCAGCTGGGATAAAGCATTAAAGCATTTCTGCCCCCCTTGGGGAGCAAGGCCCTCGGACGGGGCAGCCCGCAGAGCAAAGCATCCCAAAGGCTGCACCGAGAATTATGTCTGAAGCCTCCTGGTTTTTCGGAGGCCTGACTCATGGC